AATAGTGCACTTGTAGAAGCTGGCCTGGATATATGACGGCATGCTGAACGTCTTTAGCCTGCGGAGAAAGAATAGGCGCTGTTTTGACCACGATGTTGGTGTGGTGGGTCCAGGTTAAGTCCTCTGTGATGTTAACTCCCAGGAACTTAAAACTGGTGACCCTCTCCACTGCAGTCCCATTGATATAAATAGGTATGTGATCTCTTCCCTGATGTTTCCTATAATCCACAATCATCTCCTTAGTCTTACTGATGTTCAGAGAGAGGTTGTTCTCCTGGCACCATGCTGCCAGGGTTTCAACCTCCTCCATTTCTAAATATTTATTCTTACATGTAAAATTCCTCCCCTTCCAGTCACTTTTGTATTGACACAGAAAAGAAGATTGCTTGGATGGCAGTCCTGAGTGGGCTGAGGAGATATTTTTTTCTGCCTCTACAATTTAAACACAGAAGTTGATTCATTTTAAACATGCCTATAGAATCTATGCAAACCAGGTATGGTTATAACAGAGGACTGCTTCCAATATTTTCCTTGCCAGGCACTTATTTGAACACTATGTATTGGGAATTTCCCATATGATAGAGCACTTCTCATGCAGTGCAACTTTTATACAGTAAGATCTAACTGGTATTCAATGACTATTCCCAGATTGCTGTCACCTTTCATGCAGAGTAAAATATCTTGGGCTGGCAAGTCATACTGGAGCTTAACAGTGGGGCGTGGCTAAAAGAATGATCCTTTTTAACTTTATATGGTTGTATTCATGTGTAGATTATACATTTTAAGTTAGTAATTACATTTGTGGATTTTTTAATTTGCAAAATGTATTTAAGTTCATCTCCTTTCCCTATTTTGTTTTCTTCACTGTAGGTTTTTGCAAGTATTGTATTTCCTTTTTATCATTTCTAGTTATGTTTTGCTTTGCAATTGTCATTATATGTTATATTGTACGGAAACATTAAATGATAATGTTTGGTTCACAAAAAATATTTGAGGACCCTGACAAGTACTGAAACCAACTTTGCTTTTGTCAGTGCTCCTCAGAGTTTGCATGCTGACTGTCTCCCTGAGACAAAAATAGTTGCAAGCTGCAAGTTACAGCAATATTAAACATCAGAAACCACATTTTCTGTAAATATGTAAAAACTCCTAACACTGCCAGACTGCATGGTTCTGCTTCTGAAAATGAGGTTCAAAAACCATTCATTTTTAATGTTTTGTCACCACTTATTTTTCAGTAATTCAGTCAGAACCTAAAAAATGTGACACAGAGATGAAAATGATGGTTTGTTGGGCATAACTCACCTGGTTAAGGGAACTGCTGTCTTACTGTAATGACAAGGGTGAAAAGGGGGGGACCCTCACTCTGTTCCCAAGGAATGAGCTAGGGAGCTACAGCAAGGGTGAAGATGAGGACGTGGAAGGAGAGTGTGAGATGTGCAAAGGAAGTGAGATATTTATATGTATTAGAGCAGAAGTATTCGAGATTAGGATCTGACTTTTTTGGGGACTACTGTTACAATCATCTGATTTGGAAGCACCAATTGTGTTGTTTTTGCATCTTATGTCTCAGCTAAATTGCATAAACGACAGCAAGCCAGCAAGTGCCCAGATGTCTGTAATGTGTTGCAGAGAGTCCTAACAAACAATATCTCTAAACGTGTGTGCTGCTACTTTGTGAAATCCAGTCATAGACCATAGAGCTTAACTCTGTACTTGGACAAGTGCTATTACCAGCTGGGAGGCTCTATAACTATTGTTTTAACCAATTAGTGAATTCTGAAAATGTCAAACTTGCCTCAAATTATTCAAACAATGTGTAAGCTGTAAGAAATTAAGTTAAAAAGGTAAAACAGAAGACAGAGGTCAGCAATCTAATTAACTATATAAGAAACAAAAAACTGGTTAATAGACACAAATATGAGTGCAGGGGGAAAGAGTAAGACAGAACAGCTCTCATTAACTCTCAGTTCTCATGTGAGCCCAAGCGACACACAATGGTAGAATTTTCTATCTGTGGCCTTCTTATACGTTTTTAATTCTAGCACAGACAAGATGAAAGTCAGTTGGTTGAAATGTTGTCTTTGTATAGTAATAATAAACAGAACAATGAGATTTACGAAAAAACTAATTGTAGGTTGTAATATAATTGGTGACAGAAAGCTATGTTTAAACTTCATATGAGAGTTTAGATGGCTATGAAGCTTCAAATAAATAAACATTTCTTCTTCTTCCTCTATTATTATTATTATTATTATTATTATTATTAACACAAAGATCTACATACTTTACATGGGTTCTTTCTTCTGTCTTTGTACTTGTACATACTGTATACAGTACAGTACAATATATCCCAAAATGTTAGAACTAAAGTAACTGACACTTTATCTAGAGTGCAGATTCTGTGCTGTCCATGTTCTTACTCATGACTTACTCATTTTAGAGCTGAGAGTCTAGTCTGTTATTGCCTGTTATGACCTTTAATGCTGGGATGTACTGCAGTGTTTCAAGGTATTTTTACTGGTGGAGTGTCATGATCGTACAGTATGCTGTGATTCCTGTAGTAATTACTGTATAAGTTTTTAATACTGTTGCCCTTGTATGTTTAAAGTTTTGGATACACGACATTTCAGCTCACAGTAACTCCACATGAGCTTTTACTGTATCTGTAACTCTGAAGCCAACAAACACCTAAAGTGTTTCAAGGGATTTTTACTGGTGGAGTGTCGTGATCATATTCTGTGATTCCTGCAGTAGTAACTGTATAAGTTTTTAATACTGTTGCCCTTGTACGTTCAAGGAAAAAAACAGTGTAGTACATTTTGGATACACATTCCAGCTCACAGTAACTCCACATGAGCTTTTACCGTATCTGTAACTCTGAAGCCAACAAACACCTAAAGTGTTTCTTAGCTGTGTTAATGTGCATGTTTGCAGTTCAGGGTGAGAGAGGACAGGACTTGAAAAATAACTGCTGAATACAGTACAGAGTCAGAAGATACCAAAAACAGATTATATCACTGTTTCTAATTAATCCTCTATTAGGTGGCACAAGCAAAATATTCTGCTGTAGTCAATCACTATTATGCAAAGATAATAAAACAAACATATGCTCCTTACACACCAGGAATGTAAATTAATTATAAAATAGCTCATTAATTAATAAACATATTTGTTAAAACCAATTTTACTGACAGGACTATTCCTGATATATTAGCTGGTCGATAAGTATTGATCAAAGGCAGCAGCTTTCTATGGCAGGTTAGTGTAAATTATAAAGAAAATATCTATTTATTCCGTGGCGTAATGGATTAAGCCTACCGCGGGCCTCATCATGGCACTACTCTGTAGGGAGACTTTGACTTAAAATTTGTGTTAATCACCTGTTGTTTTGAATATATTTGTTTTCTTTTACTTTAATTAAAAACGCTACCGTAAATTGTAAACTGAAGGTTGTTGAAACTGCGAGTTGTTGAGGAGTCTTTTCCCATAAGTATGCACTAGCAAGTATAGTACAGTGAAACCACATCTAGTGAGAGTTTCTTGAAACCTCAGTTTCTCATCTTTACCTTGTTTTCTGTTTGTGAATTCTTCTCATGTTTGAAAACAGAGTTTTTATTATGCGTTGTTTTTTTTTGTTTCAGTTGTGTATGTTGTCCTAGTGTTTAAGATAATGTCATTTAAATATTACTTACTACATGTGTTATACTTTTCTGTTACTAAGTGAAAATAGTGCGTCTTTCACAAACCACTATAAAAACATCTAGCAGCTGCAAAAATTTCCAGATAATATGGTTTATTCAGTTTATCTTTATCTCTCCTGTAGGAGTAGGATACATATGTGAAATAGTACTATATGTATAGTGTACCAGCCCCATTATTTTAAATATTTCTGTTCACTTTATACTGTTATAGTACCTAGAGTTAATATCCATCACTTAGTGCTGATTTTCATTTTCTTTGCTTTAAGTTAATTATATAAATAGATTTAATTAATATAAGCTGTTTTATTCTCATTTGGTTTAATTTCATACAATAATCATTTGCCTTAAATCTAAAAAAAACAGCTGCTTATTACAATACAATAACTTAGCTGCCCTTTACTTCAAGAAGTGTGGGGGATAGACTGCACTCTCCACTTCTAATAAAATCTATTAATAATAAAATAATACAATAGAAAAAAATCTTAAGACCATACAATATTTTCTTTTACATTAGTACTACACAATATTGGTTCAGTGTCTTTTTAAAATATGAACCCATGCCCTGGTGTGTCAGTGTGTACCTAGTGGTGTTAAAACCTATACTTTCTCCCAGGCTAATGTCTTGATAAATCCTTACGTCGGGCAACTTAGTCTTCAAATAAAGTCTACCTGCATTTGAATATTGATTGGAGGAGCAATCATGCTGACCGGCAGTGTTGGGCAGCAGGGAGAGGCTAGGTCAGATTTTGCCGAGTGATTCTATGGGTCTGTGGCCTGATGGGTACAGAGAGCCAGACCTACTTTTACAAACACATTTCTTTTCTATTTGAAAACAAAAGAAAGCATCTAATGTGTGTAGGAATATGGCAAAGTGAAGGGCTGTGTGTTCCTGGAAATAGCAACCACTGTACAATTAATGTTTGGTTATCAAAACACCAGGCCTTAGTCTTCACTTAGTTTGTGTTTGTCTTTTCAGTTATTTGAATTCCCTTTTCAGTGTGATTTTGCCTTTCTTAAGTTATACCGCGTGAACAACGTGCAGTGTATTAAAGCTGGTCAGTGTTGTTAGTGGATATTTCGGAAATATTCTGACTTCTTTCTAGTTTTGAAATTCTTACACTGACAAACTTTAAATATCCCCTCGTTGATGGGCTTTATTATCATATCTTATTTACCAATAATAAAAATAATAACTGCAGAAGCTTTAGAGCCCCACAGGACCTGAACATGTTTCTTTCTCACTGTAGAACTGAGGTGTTTCATTGACAGCCTCCATGCATCCTTGTGTTTCCGCAGGCCATACGCTGCACTCTGGTGAACTGCACATGCGAATGTTTCCAGCCTGGCAAGATTAACCTGAGGACCTGTGACCAGTGCAAGCATGGCTGGGTGGCGCATGGTAAGACACTAACATGGGGTCTTTATTTTTGCTATTTGGGATGTTGTAATATACTGTAGCACCCCTCTAAAATCAGAAATAGGAAAGCATTACAGCGCAACTGAGAATCTCTTAGTTCTTCATTGATTCACGCACACTAGAAACAGGTTTGAAGTGTCTTCTTGAGCTTTTCTCTTAACAGATTAAAGATTAAAAAATGTTGTTTCTTTACATAAAATGGAGAACCTTTTTTATATTCAGTCTGTCACTTAATCTACTGTCTCCACTGGTCAATACTAGACCCGTGCCATTGCCTCATTCAGAATTTTATTTCATTTGGCTGAAGAACAGAAGGCTGCTTCTTGTGATTGAATCTGTATCTGCAGCCTGTAACTCTGAAACATATTTTGTACATTAAAGTGGAAAATGTGTCCACATATACCTCTTTAATACGTGCTGTGCAGACTTTACTCTGTGGGAATCAGTTATTTTTCTATTTGAATGTTGAGTTTAAGAAGTCTGACAATCAAGCTGCATCTCTTTTGAGACAATATTAAAACAAATGGTATACAATAGGGAAGGTGTATCAAGGAACATTTTAGGTATTATAATTTTCTTGTCTCTTGCAGTCACCAATCAGATTTGTATCAACTTCTAGAAATGCAGGTGTTGTATTCAGAAATATTTTTTACTCATGATAATATTATGTCCTTGACATTATTGCCCTCGCCCCTTGAGCTGATAGCCATGGTGGAATTATTCTGGTTAATGTGACACTCCTTATTAAACCAGCGCGATCTGGGATGTTTAGCATGAACAATGTCTTAGATGCATGGATGGCATCAGAGGAATCATGTTAGTGTATGTGGGTATATGAGCTCACATACATGAGAGGGGTATTTAGCTGGTTTGCCTCACTGCACCTCATTAACGCCCTCATGAAAGAAGTAACGAAACAAACCTGGACTCTCGTCAGGTTCATTGGAGAATTCAAGCCAGTCAGAAACTTAAAGAGGACTCCATTGCTCTTTCGTTTTCAGCACTCTCTTACATGTGAGCTACAGTTTGCACTGCTGTAATTGGCCAGCAGAAAAGTAAAATAGTCAGTGAAATTATAAAAACAAAACTTGGATGACAAAGCTGGTAATGAAGAGTTAGTGTTACATATGTATTTGAACTGCACAGTTTCTTATACAGATCTTAAATTTTCCACCGGTTTCTGTTTGAAACTTCTTTTCTGATGCACTTTAAGTAAGCAGTAGCCTAAAAGCATTGTATAAGGGGGAAGAGTCTGATTCTCTCTAGAGCCACAGCCAAAGTTTTGCATCCTATAAATATGTTTAAGATGCAAAACACTTGAGCTGTAGTTTTACACTGCAAACATTTAATATACAATATACAAAACATGTGCATGTTTGTCGCTGTTTGCCATGACCTAATTAATGTATTGGCATTCCCTTATTTCAAAACAAATCTTCCGTGGACTAAAACACACTTGTAGAAGATTGGTGTAGTGATACTCTCAGGAAAAACTCTCTGAACACTTTCTAAAATACAAGAATGTTTTGATGCTGCTCCTCATAGAACAAACGAATTTAAGCTATATGACTTTTCTGAGGGGCCCTGGTTCAGAGAGTAGCTACATTGCACTGAACCAACTCTGATTTTATCTGCTTTTCCTTGAACTTTTCTATAAGGTTATGGGCCCTCATAAAACCTGTTATTCTTATCTCTGTTGGAACCACATCCTGCATGTCTGGCAGCTTGGAATTTGGTTTTTGAGCTTTGACTCTGGATTGTTTAATTAAGAATTAATTAGCTGAGATGCAAACATTTAATGTAGGCTTTCCTTTTTAATGTCTCGCTAATAATGAAGCAGATTTAAAATCAGGAGCCTGTGACACAAATGTTTGTATCGGATAAAGAGGGACCCAGCTCTGACCAATGGCTTCTGTCCTCATCTCCAATATAACACCTTACTTCCATATGACATTGAAAACAGCCACACTTCTCTCATTAATGAGAACGAGCTCACACCTTCAGTGTTGAGATTTCACTACAGTGTCCTCTTTCACTGCGACTCCCAGGCTGGCTTTCAAAGAAAGCCAACACTTTTCTTTTATAATAAGAGAAGGGAGGTTCCAAAGCAGACAAATAAAGACATTATTTGTCTTTCATTTGAGATTCTTTTTCCTTCATGAATTGTATAGCTGACAGATTTTAAAGTAGCATTCATGGCTCATTAAAATAACTTTTGAATACTGGAAAACTGCTTGAAATGTGTTTTAATGGCTAGGAATAACACAATTTTAAATTAACATTAGATATTAAAGTCATGGTTTTATGCCTCATGTTCAATGTATCTTTTCATAAAGATGAATTCTGAAAAAAAATCTGCAGAAATAGCAGAGCTAAATCACTTTTTCTTGCTCTCTTCCTTTTGTGTTTGTTCTTAAATGTGGAAATATATTTAAAACTAAAAACTGGAGGCACTCGTTTACCCAGAGAGTTGTGGAATTATAGAATAAGCTGCCCACCAATGTTGTTGAAGCTGATACCCTGGTTTCTTTCAAGAAACAGCTGGATGAAATCCTTGTATCAAACTAACTACAGGACCAAATGGGCCGTGTGTGCAAATGGCCTCTTGTTTGTAACCTTTCTTATGTTCTTATCATGAGATTTCTGAGTTGTCACCAGCCTGAGCCTGAGCATATACGTACTATGTCATTTTACAGGCAATTTACTGTTCTACGAGCCTGTGGGCCTTTACATCTATAGTTAATAAAACTTCATTGTCTAATATTATTTAACTCAAGTCCTATTGCCTTAGTTCAAAGTCTTTTTTATTATTGGTAATTTTATTTGGGTATGAAGTATGTTAGTTCAGTTTGTTTTTGTAAGAGTATAGTTATCTAGATAAAATTTTTTATCAGTGTCTGTTTATAGTCAGTCTCTTTACTCTTTCACTTTCTGCTAAACAGGGAAATTGGGAGAAGCTTAACATAGATTGAAAATTATTTTGTTTGGAAAAATATAAATTCCTTCTTGTCTTATTTTTGCACGGTAAGGTGGCAGCTGAAGGAAGAGGTCTGTTTTTCTGTGTAAACACTGTTTACATGAGTGACAGAGTTTCACCCAAAATCATAGTTATATAATTCAGGAACAAATAATAGTATCAGTAGCAGCAATAAAGGAAGAGTTTGCAAAATGGTTTTTAATTAAATGCTTTTTTGTGTCTTCTAAAGCCCCCTGTTGGACATAGTGCTAGTTAAAAAGTAACCTTGAAGACAGTTAGTTATTTTGATGTGGCACTGATTCACTCAGCTGTTGAAATGCACTGTACTCACACAAGTGTTGTTCTCTGTACTTCAGTTTTTTTTAGCTTTTCCAGAAAATTGCTAATTAACAAATGGGTTGTTGGTAGGAAATACCAACTCTTCTAATTTTGTCTGAAATAGTTTTTGCAATGTATATGTCCTAAAGTACTGTACTTACCTACAGTATCTAATATGTGTATATGGAAAAGTATATGGAGTATATGAAGAAGTCATAAGGCTTTTCCATCTTCTCTAGCACTATGATATGATAAGACCTAATTAATATTTATAACTATAAGTGCCCATAACCACCATGATACTAGGGGGTGTTCCTTGTTATCTGTGAACACTTTTCAGTTTTATGGTATAATATAGCAACCATCACTACGAATTATAGGACTGTATATACAGTAATTATGTACAATATACTATATATATATTTGTGATATTTAAGTCTTAATCTGTATTCAGTTGACATTTAATAAGAGGAATAAAAATAATTATAGTTGTGTAGGGCTTGTGAGACAGTATTTTTCCCAAATCAGCCAAAAAGACCGATCTGTTATTTAAAAGTCAGTTCAAAAGGTTTCTCCTCATGGTTTTTTTATGTTACAAAAAATAAGATAAAAGAAAACACCTGTTTGGCCAGCGAGAGAGGGCCGTCAGCGAGCGTCACAGGGCCCCCATTGAATTTTTTCCCCTCTCTCGCTCTCTGAGACCTGTCAGGAATTTCTCTCTCTCTTTTTTTTTATTTCATTTCATCTGTACATTGGCAGCGACTCTGACAAGTAGTTCTTCATTTTTTATTATGTTCGTGTCTGGCAGAATCTGTTGTCAGGCAAAAACCTCGTCAGCGGAAAACCTGTCGTAGGATCAGAGGAGGCAAAAACAGGTGTCACACAGGCAGTCAAAACTGCGGAAAGAATGGAGGTGGGGGGGGTAGGAGATTAGGCTAAAGAGAGAGAGAAGCAGACAATTACATTAATGCCACTGCTTTTATCTCATAGATGTGTTATTATCTCATGGTGCTGAGTGCGCAGTTGCCTCAAAGAGAAGAAGACGGGAGACAAGGGGAAACTTGATAGTTATTAACTGAAGAGGCAGCATGTGTGTCAAAGCTGGATGGGTTTCAAAGTTTGCAGCTAGGAGAAGGAGGAGGGAAGAAAAAACCTCATGCAGACAGCAGTGTCTGTGAACTAACTGTAGTTGCGCTCCCGGCTGCAAAAAGCTAGTGGCAAACTTGGCTTGGAATCAGATCATAGAAAACATTGATAAAAGATCTCGTTGAGAAAGGTTATAATTTTGTGTAGAATACAGCAACTCCAGCAGGTTAGTTTTTTGTTTATTTTTTTGTGCCATTTTTACTCATTTATTATTATATTTTGGAGAGTTGCTTGGATTTACAATTTATTCTTTTGGTACGGTAGGAATTTATCGCAGCGAACATGCATGCTTTCTGAATCTTTTGTTTGTCACTGAAGTTCTATAACTCATTTGGAGTGAAAGGGCTTGCTTTTCTCTGTTTTGACAAAAATATTGTCAAGCTCAGGCCTGTGACTGACACTTCTTCAAGAGAATACATTATAAACAGTTTACATTTTTGTGGGGCTACATAACAGCAGTGACAAAAACAAAAGGACATTTTTAATTTACTCTGTCTAGAAACGTAAAATGTCTTGTTTTCCAATAATACAATCTTTGACCTTGCCATTTTCTTTAAAAAAAGGTGCTGCAAACAAAATTGCTTTATTTTTCTTGAAAAATATATCCAGAAACTTGTAGTACAAATGCAGAAATCGTCTTACATTTAGGTGCAAAATAATCTCGTGAATAAATGGGAGGAATTTCTGGGAGACGAGTGCTGCAGGATCTTGTGTGTGGAATTCCTGGGGTCCTCCACAATATTTGCACAAACCTCTAGGGGTTTAATTCCCATAATCTTGGACGATTTATGACAAGACTGCTGCCGGGGTTTGCATCTTCGTGTGCATGTGTAGACACACTCAAACGAGTATGTGATGCCCTCTTGTTTGTTTTGTCTTATTTTTTTCTTCCCCACCTGACTACTGCTCAGCGCTGGACAAGCTCAGCACCCAGCACCTGTACCACCCCACGCAGGTGGAGATCGTGCAGTCCAACGTGGTCTTCGACATCAGCAGCCTGATGCTGTACGGAACGCAGGCGGTGCCGGTGCGTCTCAAGATCCTGCTGGACCGGCTCTTCAGCGTGCTCAAGCAGGAGGAGGTACTGCATATCCTGCACGGCCTGGGCTGGACACTGCGAGACTACGTCAGAGGATACATCCTCCAGGTGAGACACCCAACTGAACTGCAACATGTCTGCCCCTCCTGTCCCTAAAGTGATATAGTTAGAGATTGTCAATGCATTCCTGACTAACGAGAGTTTACTTGAGAAGCAGTGGTCTTATAGGATCTGTGAATTTATTAATGTAGTGTCACACATGGCAGAATCTGCAATGTTTAGACTTCAGACTTCATGACGAAGACAACCCGTCGATCCCACAGTATGAGAGCCTTATGGCCCATTATGATTTGTTAACAAGCGCGTGTGTTCTGATGCCTGTGTTTACAGCAGCTAAATTTAGAATCAGCTGTTTGTTTGTTTTTTTCTTTTTTGTGAGAATTCATCCGTTACACTGCTTTCTTGTTGCACAATGTCTTTCACAATCACACAGTTGATTTGCTGAATGGCTTTGCCTGATCACGGACAGAAGCTTTTGAGAACTTTCTAGGTTTTGTCCCATTTGATCATTTTTTGTTAGAAAAAAAACTAAAAATATACAATTTTATTGCAAAATATTCTTTAAACCTAGCTCATGTGACATTTGCACAATATGTACTGTAAAGTCTTTTTAAAAGTGTTTTTTTGTTAATGTGAGGTTATTTTTTTTGGAGTGAAGCCTATTTGAAAGTAAATGGAGGAATGACAGGACATCAGACTTTAAAATAATTAATGTTATAGTGGTAAAAACAGTTGAAAATACTTTAGATATAGTACAATAAGATAACACTCATTATGACAAATTCATTCCTTAACTGTGAATTGTGTTTAAATAAACCTTCCTTTTATTATTGCTGTAAATACTCTGCTGAACTGACATTTGTCTTGTCAGAATGTGTTATAAAACGACAACGGAAGGAAAAAAGAACAACTAATTTTAACATATATAGACATCCTAAATCTTATCTGGGAAAAAGAAAAGCTGAATTACTGTATGAAGAGCCCAATCATATAATATTACTATGAAACATTTAAATCCTCAGTCTCCATTACATTACATTTAGAAAATCTTAGTTCAAATCCATGTGAAATGTTCATTTGAAAAAAATGTTTATTTCACAAAATCAGTTTACCCAGATTCATTCATACAGGTATTATATAATCAGATTTACTATTATATTATTTATTGATTTATTTAAATTAAATATGATTCTCTATCTTTATTTTTTTATGGGCGGCTTTGTAACTTCATATTTTTCTGGGGTTTTTGTATTTAAGCACGTTTTTATACTAAAAGATCCCAAGAGACGGAGGGGTCTATAATCTTGGTTTCCTTCAGTTTTATTTTTTTTCTTATTTGTTAGTAAAAATACAGTAAACTTGTGAGTTTATGTTAAGGTAGTATATAAGTCTTAGTTTACACCTCTAGCTGTAACTTTTTGCTTAACAACTAACTTTCACGAGGCCGTTGTGAGTTACAGAACAAGTTTAAATTGGTGAATTCTCACGTTCGCTTATTTATTAGAAAAATTGAAACCTCTTGTGTCTGGAAAGAGAGGTGAGTGTTTATAGGCTTGCACACTTGCATGGTTTAGTGCACTTCAGTCTCTCTAGAATTTTAAATTTGAATATTGCTCTCTTTGTTCTGTCAGAAATATGTCCCTTTCCGAAAAAAAAAAACACGAAAAATGTCACGCCAGCGGATTGTAAAAAACCCACAATAATATGTTTTCCCCTTTCTCCCCAAATTGAAATCAGACAAGTTTTTTAATCAAAGATACAGCGGTTTGGTCTAACAGCAAACCAAAGTGTTCCTGAATGAATTAGTTAGGAGCAACTTTACATGTGCTTGTGGTTACTCCAGTGTGTCCAAAGCCAATACCAGACAGAGGTAGATGTGTTTTGTTTTGAGGCCTTGAATAAGTGGAACAATATGCGAACCTTAAGGGTGTCATTTTAGGGCCTGCTTTGTTTAACCAGCTTCTGTGAGTGAAGCCTTTTTTATTCATAATTGCACAGTGTTATAATTGTATTTGGGAAATCAGAACTATCAACGTATTACATAGTTGGTATTTTTATTCATTTGCTGTCAGCAGCCTGCAATTCTTTCTTTCACTATCCCTTTGGTATTTTGAACATTTTTTTTTTCATTTTAAAACGCAAGGCATTGAGAATTACTGACATGAGACTACAGTCCCAGCAGGGATATTGAAATATTATATCCTTATATAGCAGTTTATTATCAGCTGTTTTTAATATACTTAGCCTCTAAGACATGTGTCGCAGTTTCATACTCAATATGGGGGAGAAAACTTAGGAGGGGGTCTGGACTGCGCTCTGAAAAAAAAAATCAGCAGCTTGCCAGAGCGCTGGCCAGACATTCCAAAGATTTGTTCAAATAATCTTCAAAGAATTTTGACTGTGCCGTTGTCAGTCACATTAAGGATAGCAAAATCCCATAATACCCTATTAGTCTGTAAGTATGTATGAAATTCAATCAGTTAGTGCCCTGAGGGCAACAGTTTTTTCATTATTGCTTTTAACAACAGTCTATTGAATATTATATCTAGTAAAGGACAGCAGTTATTAGTGTTAGTTGGGTGAATTGGTTGGAGTACTTCAGATAATATTGACCACATTGAAATCATAAAGTAATATTGTAGGGCCACTGGGAGGGGGTGGATAAGGGTGAGAAACCAAAAGGTGTTTAATTTAGAATCTCTTTGTCATCCAGCCCTCTAAAACAACAAACAGAGAAGTTTTTTTTGTCAGAACATTGACTGGCACATGGGATCATATTTGCGAATACCAGTTTCTCAGGAGAAAAGAGTAATGACTATAATAAACCTCTTAGCCTTATTTCAGCCTTATTTGTCATGAATCAAGTTCTCCTGCTGCAGTGCTTGTTTATTACTTATAAACTAATTACATTAACTTGTTTTTTAAAAGATTTGTTACTCACAATACAAACAAGGCTGTTGACAATACATGTACTGTAGATATAGTATTTAAACAAACTTCCCATTACACAGAACTTTGATCTTAAAAAGCTGTTATACTTTGCAGGATATTTCAAACTTGCGAGCTTTTTTTATTACAAATGTATGAAATTAAAGTATGTTTGACTAAATTACTTGTCTCCCTCATGATTGGAGTTCTAAACAGAAGTCTGAGAGAAGCTCAGATCCTAATCTCACCCACATATGTGCTCCTACGTATAAATGTCTTGCCTCCTGAACTTCCTTTTACTTACTGTATTTCTCTCATGCTCCTCCCACTACCCCATCTGGAGCTTTGCAGCAGCTCCCTCACTCATTCCTTGTGACAAGGAGGGTTGGGGTTCTGTCAGCCTCATCTTTATGGATAGTCTGCTGTTCCCTGAGCCAGATATGTTACCCCAAACAAGCCTACAATACATTTTTGTCTCTATGTTGCATTTATTAGGATTGACTGAACTACTCTTGTACAATTTGTATGGGCGCCTACTGTCAGTAAAAAAATCACAATTGTCAGTCTGTGGAAATGTGATCTGTTTTTCTGTTTTAGTTTATTAGCATCTGCACACAATTTTGAGAAGAGCCCTCAGATAAGCTTGCAACTTTTGACATATGTCATAGAGACCACCAAGGTTGGAGGTGGTGTGCTGCAGAATATTACTCTTCATACAAGGTCATAAGTATTCAAAGAAAAAAATATTCTGAATATATGAGATTTGTTATAAAAACAATTCATGAGAAACACAACAGGAGGTGAATTAGTCCATGAAGTGGATCCCAAAAGGCTACTACTTAGAAACTTTGTCAAGTGCACCAACAGACGTAATCTTTATACTGAACATTATTACAGCACATGCTTGAAAATTTGCTGTTGATCATACCTTGTTATACTGATCTTTAACATGTGCCAACCTGATTTGTAGCTGCATAACTCAGTAAGCTTTTTACTACTACAGAAGTTGTATTTCACTTTAAATTACATCAGTATACATTGTACTATAGTAAGAGCCATTTCCCCTAAGATAGTTGATGATAACGTGCGACTTTTAGCATCTCTGTACATGCTCTGTATTTTTGTGTTTTCATTGGAGAACTAAATAAATATGTTACCACTTTTACTGAGAAGGTTTACAGTAATCATGGTGGTTGATGAATCTGAAAATAAGTGGTTTGTTGTTAATTAAGAACATAAGAAAGATTGCACATGAGAGGACATTTAGTCTGTCTATTGTTTAGCCTATTTTGTTACTAGAAGCTACAATATTTGATCAGAGGATCTAGTCCAGCCATTTTGTAAAACAAAAAGTATATTAACTCCAATACCTTTGGTGGACAACGTGCTCCATTCTTCCTCATCCCCTTGCATAAAGAAATAACTTTTGTTCTCTTAATGCTGGCAGCAGCAGATATTACAATGCTAGATACATTGTAGTGGTTTAAATAAACAAGAGAAAAGCTATTGCACCACCCACATTTTGACAAAGTTATTATATTATCCTTATCTTTACCAAAGTTAGTACATCACAAATATCCAGAAGACCAAAAGTGGTAGAGATTGCAGCCAGATTCCAAACCATAAGGGAAAGCCAACCAAAACAATTTCACCCTACTGTACATAGGTACTTCCACCTTTGTGACAAAACTACAGATTAAAATACAATGATGACTTAATCCAGATATCAGGGGAAGACTAGATCACAATCTGCCTCACTTTCTTAGTCCTGTAACACTTAGATAAGCTGTTATAGAAGTTGTCTTAGAAGATCAGATATTATACTCAGTGGTCAGCATTTACCTTTTATGTGGGATGTATTCAGCGTTTTGCGCCCTTTAGACGTGGGTGACCTGCTTCTCTGCTGATACAATATTTAATGCCGTACAGTAACACCGTCCAAATGAAGGCTCACAGTCCAATAATTTTGTGCACTAGCAATACCACTTAACAACAGATATAAACAAAAACGGGGAGTCATGAAAGAAAAAGGGGGTGATAGAAATCCCTTCTTGAATTTACTAGGGTTCATATAACAGATGACCTGTGTGTTACCATGGAATAAATCTTAAATTCTACCT